AGAGAGAGAGAGAGAGATTAAGAAAGAGAGAGAGAGGCAGACAGACAGACAGTCAGAGAGGCAGTCAGACAGACCGACAGACAGAAAGAGAGAGAGAGAAAGTGATCGTTACTAGAGAACGAGAGAGATAGAAAGAAAGAGCGAGAGAGAGAGAGAGAAAAAGCGAGCGAGAGAGATTAAGAGAGAGGGAGAGAGAGAGAGAGGCAGACAGACAGACACACAGACAGACAGACCGACAGACAGACAGAAAGAGAGAGAGAGAGAGAAAGAGAGATCGTTCCTAGAGAACGAGAGAAAGAGAGAGAGAGAGAGAGAGAGAGAGGTTAAAGTGAGACAGTGAGAGATGAATGAACGGATCGGTAAACCACTGGAATTCTATATCTTTTTGTTCACTAGTGGCTACGGTTACAGTTACATATCATCGTTACTATTGTGACACATTATGGAAGTGGGAATAAAACAGTACATCAACCCATGCTCTTATAGTAACCCGAGCTGTAGTTTTGTTGTTGATGTTGTTGTTGAGGTAGTTGTTGTGTGATTGTTGCGTCACTGTTGTTGTTGTGTGTGTGTGTGTGGTAGCCTATCCGTTCGAAATGTTTGGAGCCCCGAAGAGCGGGTTGTTGTTGTTGTTGTAATTGTCGTTGTAGTTGTAGTTGTCGTTGTCGTCATTGTTGTTGTGGTGTGATTGTTGCCGTCTCTGTTGTTGTTGTTGTAGTCGTTGTGTGATGGTGGAGGTAACACTGAAAAATGTTGACTTTTTGTTAGTTTGTTTCTGTTTTCTACTAGTAGCAGTTTAAATTATTGTTTTTATTATTGTTGTTGTAATTGCTGTTCGAATAGTACATATAGTAGTAGTAGTAGTAGTAGTAGTAGTAGTAGTAGTAGTAGTAGTAGTAGTAGTAGTAGTAGTGGTAGTAGTAGTACATGTAGTAGTAGTAGTAGTAGTGGTAGTGGAAGTGGTAGTGGTAGTAGTAGTAGTAGTACATGTAGTAGTAGTAGTAGTGGTAGTAGTAGTAGTGGTAGTGGTAATAGTAGTACATGTAGTAGTAGTGGTAGTAATAGTAGTAGTAGTAGCAGTAGTAGTAGTGGTAGAAGTAGTGGTAGTAGTAATAGTAGTAGTAGTAGTAGTAGTAGCAGTGGTAGTAGTAGTAGTGGTAGTAGTAGTAGTAGTGGTAATAGTAGTAGTAGCAGTATCAGCATCATCATCAGCAGCAGCAGCAATAGCAGCCGTTGTAGTAGTAGTAGTAGTATCAGCAGCAGCAGCAGCAATAGGGGTATTACCTAGTAGTAGTAGTAGAAGTAGTAGTAGTAGTAGTACTAGCAGCAATGGCAGTTGTAGTAGTATCATCGTCACCATCATCATCAGCTGCAGGAGTAGGTTGTATTTAAGCAGCTGTAAAATGGTAGCGCTGGTGGTTGGGGAGTTTTTGTTTTTGTAAGGTGTTTTACGGCGCTTGCTACTGCATAAGGTCATATGAGCGCGCGGGACACACCTAATATTTTCTGATTTTGAACTATTGCCCGGGTGGGGGGCCGAAGCCTACTCTTATCGATTTTAGACCACCAAGGGATCTTTAACGTGCGCAACTTGCACACGGGCCCTCCGAGATTTTTCGCCCTTGTCCGAGAAGGCTATGCGTAGATCTTTCCTACCAGAAGATCAGGGGTGTGGCAGAAAGACAGCAGTAAGGAGGAACCAAGGAGTAGCAGTAGAAAGGCTGCAGAAAGAGTAAGGAGCCCAGAGGAACGGGCAAAGGAGATGAGGGGGTGGGGGAAGAAAGTGGAAATGAAAGCAGACAACAGAACATTGCTAGAGAGCAGGAAAGGAGGTGAAAGGAGACAATTTTAGAGGAGAAAATTTTTCGGTCGCTACCCGGATTCGAACCCGGGACCTATGAATGGGAGGCCAACATCTTAACCTCTAGGCCACGAGAGGCCCCCGGTTGGGGAGTGCATTTTGTAATTTGCTCCTTCTGTCCTATCCAAAGATCTTTTGTCCTTATCTCTCTTCCCTTTTTTCTGTCTTTTTTGGAGCATACCATGTAAGTCGAGATCTGAAAGGGATGGGAGATTGGTACTTTGGCAATTAACATAAGTGAGGCAGCGTGGTGAAATCAAGCTCTCGTCAATATAATCAAAGTGAAGAAACTGGCATTTTTCCCCAGGTTAGTGAATTTTTATCAAATTTTTGGTTTTTAGCTCAACACCTTTCATGCCATTTAAAGAATTCATTTCTGTGAGGGTTTGACTGAAAAACTTTAATTAAAGACACAAAAATGTAAATTTTCAGTTACCACGGACTCTTTCAGTTACCACGGACTCTTCAGCTAAGGAAATAGCCTTTGGGGACCAATTTCTCACTAATTTTACCTCTGAAACAAGGTGACCCCCACCTCCTTCATTTGCAAATATCTTGGCTTGTTTTCAAGATAAACGGATATTTTTTTTCCAAATAAAGAGAAGTAAACAAGCTCTACGATGATAACAATAACTCTACATGCTCAAAAATTGACGACAGCCTGATTCCACCACGCTGTCTCACATATTATTCTATGTCGACTGCCCAGGCAGAGCTGTATCGTGCACACTGCCTCAACATCACCTAATATAAGAAGACAAAAAGGCTACAGACTCTCTAGTAACACCTGTGATAGTGTGTGGTTGGCGGGTGCTCTGGTGTGGTTTGCTCCTTCTTTCCTATCAAACATCTATCGTCCTTATCTCCCCTTCTTCTTTTTTATGTTTGTTACTCTCTTGTAACACCTCTAATCTTCTGGCGCTCATATGATCTTATTATGCAGTTGCGAGCGCCGTAAAACCTCTACTAAAACTAAAACAAACAACAAAAACACCTGTGATATATGGTACTTATATGGCCTATTTAAGCTGCAAGTCAGTGCTGTGAGCTTAAGCCGAATGCTTCCTGGGAGGGGTAGGGGTCAAAGTTCGTTATATAGGGGCAAATTACGAGAATTATGTTACCATGTGCACGTGGCCCAGCCTGCACAGCTTGTGTTGTATGAGTAAAGTAAACATGATGGATAGGCTAGTCTGTACAAGGACTTGTGCGTTAGGAGCTTTGTGTCGCAGCTTAGGTTCCTGCTTGGCATGAGTGTAGAGCTGGGCGAAGAATTCATTCCGGAACCGATTCCCACGATTAATGCAGAAGAAAAGTTCCGACTCCTTTTTACGTAAACCAACAGTTATCAGCTACTTAAATCACTAAAATCGTCTTTTTAAAGTACAATTTATTTTTGTAAAATAAAACTTGAAGGTTTGTAATCTTCCGAAATCAAAGTCATCCCAAATCTTGAAGATGTTCTGAGCCAAACAGGTAACCACCGGAAGAAATTATATCATTAGAAAGTAAGTAATTGGTTTCGGAATCGATTCCTACGATTCCTAGCTTTCAATTGTCGAGAACGTAGCCGCCCAGCGCTAATGAGTAGTCCATGTTTCGCTGCCATAGAGGAAAATGCCGTCAATGCAAAGGTTGTAAACTGCCGCCATCTTGATTGAGATTATCAGCTGTGGGTTTCCCTAAAAGCTGGTTGAGAGTCGTTCTTGGTTTGTTACAGTATTGTCGATGCGTTTGTCTATATCGGTGTCAAGCACAGTGGCAAGAGATAGGCTATCCCTGGTGGGGGACCCTATGTAAGTAAACTGCTGGATGATTTCAAGTTCATGGTTGTCGATAGTGATAGCAGGTGGACAGTCAACATCCTGACTCCTTCTGTTGGGTTTTAAAAGGCTGATGATAATCAGGCCAAAGCATCAACGCACACATTGCATCAGTAATCAACTATCGCCTTTTGATCTTTTATTTCGCAATTTTTTTCTGGTCCTAATTTTGTTTCCATAGCAAATGCACAAAGAAGCAAAAAGAAGAACGTCTCCTAATATTGCACTTTATTTCCAATCGCCGGAGAGGAATGTGTGAAATCCAAGAGAAATTATTTATACTGTGGCTTAGCTTATAAGTTTGCAATTTGTTTGGCTGGTCTTCTAGAGATCATCAAGGTATAAACTGTATGTATTTTAATTTAAGTAGAGTGTGGGGAAGTCTTTTTTTCCAATTCTTCTTCTTCTTTTAGTTCGGGACCCCAGTTAGATAAGGACTTCCGTAACGAGCGACCACCCCATCAAACACAATAAAGAACAGGCCTAACCGTAAGGCCTAACCCTAAGGCCTAACCCAAACCCTAACCCTAACTCTAACCCTAACCCAAACCCTAACCCTAACCCTAACCCTAACCCTAACCCTAACCCTATCCCTAACCCTAACCCTACCCCTACCCCTAGCCCTCAATTCTACTCTGTCTCACAGTGGTCGCTCGTTACGGAAGTCCTCCCCCAGTTAGACATCGGAAGTCATGGTTCACCTCTCATTCCTCTGCTCGAATAAGCAAGGCCTATAATATCCTGATTTCCCCCCCCCCATCACCAGCTGCTCGAGTTCTCTCAGCTAGTCCCTCTGGGTCTACCTCTACTTTGTTTGCTTTCATTTATTCCATCGAGAGAATAGCCTTTGTGTTGATGCAGGAGTCCTAAAAGTAAAAGCTGCAATTGGCCAAAATATATGAAATGTTATAGGTGTATCGCCTTTTACAACCCAGTAAAGTTATTTTAGAGGCGGAACTTCCGAATACATGTACATGTATAATGTCCGGTCTACTCTGATAGGACCGAGCCAAAAGAGAACATTCGATTAAAGTGCCTTTCCCAAGGACAGGGCGTCATGCCAAGCTTAGGCTCGAACCCCTGATCTTACAATCTCAAGCTTACGAGCCTGATAGCCTGTCTAAGCGCCAGATTAAGGGCACCACCAATTGCAAAAGGCTCTCCACAATTTACTGTTCGTATTTAACTAGTGACTGCCCCACACTGCTTTCTCTCAACATAACCTAGTTTAACCTCTGTTTATTTTATGTAATCTTTAGGTCTCCTTAAACAGAGCAACATCAACAAATAAACAAATAAACAAATACAGAGGCAAACAAATAACAAATAGAAATAAACAAACAAACAAACAAATACAAAAAAGCAAAAAAAA